CCACATTCAGGTCTCTTCACACTGCTGTTGTTTTCAATTTTTTGACATAGGGTGCTGGCAGATTACGGGCCTCCCATAGCTGCTGCCAGGCCCCTAATCTGCCATGGGCCCCTATATACCGCCTCCTCATGCTGCTGCCAAGTCCAGAGTCTCTCATGGGTCCCTGTACGGCCTCCCATTGCTGCTGTCTCCATCGCCACACTCTGCCATGTGCCACATTCAGGTCTCTTCACACTGCTTTGTGTTTTCAATTTTTTGAACATAGGGTGCTGGCAGATTACGGGCCTCCCATAGCTGCTGCCAGGCCCCTAATCTGCCATGGGCCCTATATACCGCCTCCTCATGCTGCTGCCAAGTCAGAGTCTCTCATGGGTCCCTGTACGGCCTCCCATTGCTGCTGTCTCCATCGCCACACTCTGCCATGTGCCACTTTCAGGTTCCTCACACACTGCTGTTGTGTTGAATTTTTGACATAGGGTGCTGGCAGATTACGGGCCTCCATAGCTGCTGCCAGCCCCCTAATCTGCCATGGGCCCCTATATACCGCCACCTCCTCCTCATGCTGCTGCCATCGTCCAGAGTCTCTCATGGGTCCCTGTACGGCCTCCCAAATTGCTGCTCATTGTGCTCCATCGCCACACTCTGCATGTGCAACATTCAGGTCTCTTCACACACTGCTTGTGTTTTCAATTTTTTGACATAGGGGCTGCAGATTACGGGCCTCCCATAGCTGCTGCAGGCCCTAATCTGCCATGGGCCCCTATATACCGCCCATCCTCATGCTGCTGCCAAGTCCAGAGTCTCTCATGGGTCCCTGTACAGCCTCCATTGCTGCTGTCTCCATCGCCACACTCTGCCATGTGCCACTTTCAGGTCTCCTCACACACTGCTGTTGTGTTGAATTTTTTGACATAGGGTGCTGGCAGATTACGGGCCTCCCATAGCTGCTGCCAGGCCCCTAATCTGCCATGGGCCCCTATATACCGCCTCCTCATGCTGCTGCCAAGTCCAGAGTCTCTCATGGGTCCCTGTACGGCCTCCCATTGCTGCTGTCTCCATCGCCACACTCTGCCATGTGCCACATTCAGGTCTCTTCACACTGCTGGTGTGTTGAATTTTTGACATAGGTGCTGGCAGATTACGGGCCTCCCATTGCTGCTGCCAGGCACGTAATCTGCCATGGGCCCCCGTACCGACTCCTCATGCTGTGACGTTGCAACAAGGTGTAATTCAACCCTACATATGTTAGGACCGCCTTTACGAACAGCGAAAGGCCATCACAGATTTCCTGATGTTAAAAGCGGATAAAGGTACTCCCTGTGTAACTTAGATGTCAGCCATTGGCAGCTCATGCGTGACACCTGCGCTTGATTCAGGCCCTTTGAGGAGGCCACGCTATTTGTGAGTCGGCAGGACTATGTAATGAACGAGGTCAAATCGGCCATGGGCCCCCGTACCGCCTGGTCACGCTGCTGATGGTCCCACAGTGTGACCTGGGTCCCTGTACGGCCTCCCTATTGCTTCCACTCTGCCATGTGCCACTTTGAAATCTCCTCACACTCCTGCGGTTGTCCATTTTGTCATAGGTTGCTGGCAGATTACAGCCTTCCATAGGTGTCGCCAGGCCCAAATCGGCCATGGGCCCCGTACCGCCTGGTCACGCTGCTGCTGAGCCCACAGTGTGACCTGGGTCCCTGTATGGCCTCCCATTGTTTCCACTCTGCCATGTGCCACTTTGAGGTCTCCTCACACTCCTGTGCTTTTCCATTTTGACATAGGTTGCTGGCAGATTACAGGCCTTCCATAGGTGCCGCCAGGCCCCAAATCGGCCATGGGCCCCCGTACCGCCTGGTCACGCTGCTGCTGAGCCACGGTGTGACCTGGGTCCCTGTACGGCCTCCCCATTGCTTCCACTCTGCCATGTGCCACTTTGAGGTCTCCTCACACTCCTGTGCTTTTCCATTTTGACATAGGTTGCTGGCAGATTACAGGCCTTCCATAGGTGCCGCCAGGCCCCAAATCGGCCATGGGCCCCTGTACCGCCTGGTCACGCTGCTGCTGGTCCCACAGTGTGACCTGGGTCCCTGTACGGCCTCCCATTGCTTCCACTCTGCCATGTGCCACTTTGAAATCTCCTCACACTCCTGCGGTTGTCCATTTTGTCATAGGTTGCTGGCAGATTACAGGCCTCCCATAGGTGCCACCAGGCCCCAAATCGGCCATGGGCCCCGTACCGCCTGATCACGCTGCTGCTGGGCCCACAGTGTGACCTGGGTCCCTGTACGGCCTCCCATTGCTGCTGCCAGGAGGCAGCAGGGTCGCAGCAGTGTCAGTGGAGGCAAACGGCCCAACGGCCACGGAGTAGAGCAGCAGCTCCACTGCAGCCTACCACCACAGCCAGTAGTGGTGCCGGTGTGCACGGAGGAAGTAGCAGTCAGCCAGTGAGGAGTAGCGGGGTGCAAAGTTTCCTACTCGGCGGTGTGGCAAGTTTTCGTCAAGCCGCCCGAGGAAGTAAACGTAGCCGTATGTCGACTATGTGGCCAGAAAGTCAAGCGTGGCCAGGGGGCCCATGTTGGGACTACAGCGTTGCGTCAGCATATGCAGCGTCGCCATTCGGTGGCCTGGGAAAAACGTGATAAAGATACGGCGGTTCTGCCTGCCCCAGCCCAGGGTTCCATTTTGTCATAGGGTGCTGGCAGATTACGGGCCTCCCATAGGTGCCGCCAGGAACCAAATCGGCCATGGGCCCCCGTACCGCCTGGTCACGCTGCTGCTGGGCCCACAGTGTGACCAGGGTCCCTGTACGGCCTCCCATTGCTTCCACTCTGCCATGTGCCACTTTGAGGTCTCCTCACACACTCCTGTGGTTTTCCATTTTGACATAGGTTGCTGGCAGATTACAGGCCTCCCATAGGTGCCGCCAGGCCCCAAATCGGCCATGGGCCCCCGTACCGCCTGGTCACGCTGCTGCTGGTCCCACAGTGTGACCTGGGTCCCTGTACGGCCTCCCATTGCTTCCACTCTGCCATGTGTCACTTTGAGGTCTCCTCACACTCCTGTGGTTTTCCATTTTGACATAGGTTGCTGGCAGATTACAGGCCTCCCATAGGTGCCGCTAGGCCCCAAATCGGCCATGGGCCCCCGTACCGCCTGGTCACGCTGCTGCTGGTCCCACAGTGTGACCTGGGTCCCTGTACGGCCTCCCATTGCTTCCACTCTGCCATGTGCCACTTTGAAATCTCCTCACACTCCTGCGGTTGTCCATTTTGTCATAGGTTGCTGGCAGATTACAGGCCTTCCATAGGTGCCGCCAGGCCCCAAATTGGCCATGGGCCCCCGTACCGCCTGGTCACGCTGCTGCTGGTCCCACAGTGTGACCTGGGTCCCTGTACGGCCTCCCATTGCTTCCACTCTGCCATGTGCCACTTTGAGGTCTCCTCACACTCCTGCGGTTTTCCATTTTGTCATAGGTTGCTGGCAGATTACAGGCCTCCCATAGGTGCCGCCAGGCCCTATATCGGCCATGGGCCCCCGTACCGCCTGGTCACGCTGCTGCTGAGCCCACAGTGTTACCTGGGTCCCTGTACGGCCTCCCATTGCTCCCACTCTGCCATGTGCCACTTTGAGGTCTCCTCACACTTCTGCGGTTTTCCATTTTGTCATAGGTTGCTGGCAGATTACAGGCCTCCCATAGGTGCCGCCAGGCCCCATATCGGCCATGGGCCCCGTACCGCCTGGTCACGCTGCTGCTGAGCCCACAGTGTGACCTGGGTCCCTGTACGGCCTCTCCATTGCTCCCACTCTGCCATGTGCCACTTTGAGGTCTCCTCACACTCCTGCGGTTTTCCATTTTGTCATAGGTTGCTGGCAGATTAGCGGCCTTCCATAGGTGCCGCCAGGCCCCATATCGGCCATGGGCCCCCGTACCGCCTGGTCACGCTGCTGCTGAGCCCACAGTGTGACCTGGGTCCCTGTACCGCCTCCCATTGCTCCCACTCTGCCATGTGCCACTTTGAGGTCTCCTCACACTCCTGCGGTTGTCCATTTTGTCATAGGTTGCTGGCAGATTACAGGCCTTCCATAGGTGCCGCTAGGCCCCAAATCGGCCATGGGCCCCCGTACCGCCTGGTCACGCTGCTGCTGGTCCCACAGTGTGACCAGGGTCCCTGTACGGCCTCCCATTGCTTCCACTCTGCCATGTGCCACTTTGAGGTCTCCTCACACTCCTGCGGTTTTCCATTTTGTCATAGGTTGCTGGCAGATTACAGGCCTCCCATAGGTGCCGCCAGGCCCCATATCGGCCATGGGCCCCGTACCGCCTGGTCACGCTGCTGCTGAGCCCACACTGTGACCTGGGTCCCTGTACGGCCTCCCATTGCTCCCACTCTGCCATGTGCCAACTTTGAGGTCTCCTCACACTCCTGCGGTTTTCCATTTTGTCATAGGTTGCTGGCAGATTACAGGCCTTCCATAGGTGCCGCCAGGCCCCATATCGGCCATGGGCTCCCGTACCGCCTGGTCACGCTGCTGCTGAGCCCACAGTGTGACCTGGGTCCCTGTACGGCCTCCCATTGCTTCCACTCTGCCATGTGCCACTTTGAAATCTCCTCACACTCCTGCGGTTGTCCATTTTGTCATAGGTTGCTGGCAGATTACAGGCCTTCCATAGGTGCCACCAGGCCCCAAATCGGCCATGGGCCCCCGTACCGCCTGGTCACGCTGCTGCTGGGCCCACAGTGTGACCTGGGTCCCTGTACGGCCTCCCATTGCTGCTGCCAGGAGGCAGCAGGGTCGCAGCAGTGTCAGTGGAGGCAAACGGCCACGGAGTAGTAGAGCAGCAGCTCCACTGCAGCCTACCACCACAGCCAGTAGTGGTGCCGGTGTGCACGGAGGAAGTAGCAGTCAGCCAGTGAGGAGTAGCGGGTGCAAAGTTTCCTACTCGGCGGTGTGGCAAGTTTTCGTCAAGCCGCCCGAGGAAGTAAACGTAGCCGTATGTCGACTATGTGGCCAGAAATGCAAGCGTGGCCAGGGGGCCCATGTTGGGACTACAGCGTTGCGTCAGCATATGCAGCGTCGCCATTCGGTGGCCTGGGAAAAACGTGATAAAGATACGGCGGTTCTGCCTGCCCCAGCCCAGGGTTCCATTTTGTCATAGGGTGCTGGCAGATTACGGGCCTCCCATAGGTGCCGCCAGGCCCCAAATCGGCCATGGGCCCCCGTACCGCCTGGTCACGCTGCTGCTGGGCCCACAGTGTGACCAGGGTCCCTGTACGGCCTCCCATTGCTTCCACTCTGCCATGTGCCACTTTGAGGTCTCCTCACACTCCTGTGCTTTTCCATTTTGACATAGGTTGCTGGCAGATTACAGGCTTTCCATAGGTGCCGCCAGGCCCCAAATCGGCCATGGGCCCCCGTACCGCCTGGTCACGCTGCTGCTGGTCCCACAGTGTGACCTGGGTCCCTGTACGGCCTCCCATTGCTTCCACTCTGCCATGTGTCACTTTGAGGTCTCCTCACACTCCTGTGGTTTTCCATTTTGACATAGGTTGCTGGCAGATTACAGGCCTCCCATAGGTGCCGCTAGGCCCCAAATCGGCCATGGGCCCCCGTACCGCCTGGTCACGCTGCTGCTGGTCCCACAGTGTGACCTGGGTCCCTGTACGGCCTCCCATTGCTTCCACTCTGCCATGTGCCACTTTGAAATCTCCTCACACTCCTGCGGTTGTCCATTTTGTCATAGGTTGCTGGTAGATTACAGGCCTTCCATAGGTGCCGCCAGGCCCCAAATCGGCCATGGGCCCCCGTACCGCCTGGTCACGCTGCTGCTGGTCCCACAGTGTGACCTGGGTCCCTGTACGGCCTCCCATTGCTTCCACTCTGCCATGTGCCACTTTGAGGTCTCCTCACACTCCTGCGGTTTTCCATTTTGTCATAGGTTGCTGGCAGATTACAGGCCTCCCATAGGTGCCGCCAGGCCCCAAATCGGCCATGGGCCCCCGTACCGCCTGGTCACGCTGCTGCTGGGCCACAGTGTGACCTGGGTCCCTGTACCGCCTCCCATTGCTCCCACTCTGCCATGTGCCACTTTGAGGTCTCCTCACACTCCTGCTGGTTTCCATTTTGTCATAGGTTGCTGTATGGCCTCCCATTGCTGCTGCCTCCACCGCCACACTGTGGCTCCAAACACTGGTTTTGGCCCCGTGACTGGCCAAATGAGTGAAGTGTGCGGTGATTCTAAGATCGACGGCACTCATCTGCATGTCATACTGAGTGACAGTATTATTTCTCTTCCCCAGCAGACTCCAAGGGCATTTAAATTAAAGGTACAGTGTTCTGCACTAATATTAAGTCTCTCTGAAGCCTAGAAACACCCTTTTTTAAGTTAAATTCACAGCGAATTTATTCGACTCGAATCGAATATTGTCCACGAATTCGCCGAATCAGTCGAATCGAATTTTTCAATTCTTCGCTCATCTCTAGTAATCACTCATAGAAAAAAGATAACCATATAGTGTAGTATGTCACATAAATTAAATTCAGGCTTTATTAGTTGTGCTTACATTAAAATAGTATAAAATCACATAAAAACCGCTTATATTCCCATTCCCATCTCAGGAGCAGCTTCCAGGAACGCCAATAATGATATTCCCTCAATTAAGATGGCCGCTCTGCCACTTCCGGTCACCATGCAACGTCCAACGTCATGTCCTTTGACACGTTTCATCACTTCCTGACTCCCTCATAAGGGGTGTGTTCGTCGGATCAGCGGCCATATTTAACTGTATTTTCTAATGACCAACGCATCTCAATCCGCCATTTTTAACTAGGGCTAAGCGTACCTCTTCCTCTAATACCAATAACCAGCCTTTCCCCATCACACAATTTAATTACATTATTAACAAATATGAATATATTCTGTAGTATCTTCCTACCAAATACTTACTATACTAAATAAGCAGATACCTTATGCGGGGGACCTTATGCGGGGGAATTATTATGCATAAAAATACTAAATCCACATAACAGGAATCTCTCTGCAAAATAATATTAAGTATAAGGTGCTCAATTGAGAAATTCATAACACAGGGAATGAAATTCATATATATAATAACTTATAAATATTAGATCACACCATCAGTCCCACCACGTAAGCCAGAGTACTAGGTGTCATTCTAGACTCCAATCTGTCTTTCCAGCCCCAGATCCAATCGCTGACAAATTCATGCAGACTCCACCTCCGCAACATCTCCAAAATACGCACAGAAACAACAAAGCAACTCACTCACTCCCTTATCATCTCCCGACTTGACTATTGCAACTCCCTCCTCGCCGGCCTACCCCAACACAGGCTATCTCCGCTTCAGGCTATCCTGAATTCTGCGGCCAGACTCATCCACCTTACCAACCGCTCTGTATCCGCCACCCCCCTCTGCCAATCCCTCCACTGGCTTCCGATTGCCCAACGCATAAAATTTAAAATATTGACATTAACGTACAAAGCTGTTCATAACACTGCCCCAAACTACATCACCGACCTGATATCCATCTACCACCCGAAACACACTCTCCGCTCCTCACAAGACCTCCTTCTGTTCAGTTCCCTGGTCTCCTCCTCCCATGCCCGTCTCCAGGACTTCTCCAGTGCTTCCCCCATCCTCTGGAACTCACTACCCCAATCCATCAGACTGTCACTTCCCTCCTTACCTTCAGGCACACCCTGAAAAATCATCTCTTCAGAGAAGCCTACCCCGCCCTCACCTAATTGCTGATCTCCTCTGCTCTTCCCACCACTCCATCCCCCACAGCTATTTCCTCCTGTACCACTCTCCCCGCCCTCGAACCCCTCGTGTATTGTATTGTTACTGTACTGTCTCGTGTATTGTCTGCCATTATAATGTACAGCGCTGAGCAAACCGTTGGCGCTATATAAATCCTGTATAATAATAATAATCAAAGATTATGTATAAAAGAGGAACCTAAATCCATAAATGAATCAATCCACCATCTAGTGGTAAAATATGAATACAGCATTTCATATATAATTCCTTATCCCAATTCTACCAAAATACTTCTACTTTATATACCATAATCACAAATCTCCAGACTCTAATAAGTCCAGAGTCCTACACTTGTATTAATATCTAAATTGGATTAAAATAAATAAAAATAAAAATGATTATATAAAATAGTTAAATAATATTATCTTTACATGCTAATATATAAACCCTCCTAGATCTAACTACATTAAAAGATTATATTATATTATTCTATTATACCATACTATAATTTTTAAAACATTTTTATATTTTTAATATTATTACCTAAAATAAAATATAATCAATATCCCTTCTTAATTATACCTAAAGGAGATCTTTCAGATATTTGAAATAAAACAATTTAAATCTAGGTCTGCATTCAGGCCTTTCAGTTTTAATGTCTGCAATTATATCTTAAGTTTTATTGCCACCCCTCCAATCAGTGATGTATTTCGTTTTTTTATGCTGTCCTAGGCAAGACTAAAATTGGGCGCCCCCCCCCCCCCCAAGACTAAAATCGGACTCCCCCACCATCTGAATTTGTCCCACACCAGCCACGGTATACCATTTGGTGTCAAATTATGGTACCTAAAAATCTCCATAGGCAACATTTTAAAAGCCTTTACACGTTACCAGTTTAGCGTTACACAGGATGTCTGGTGCTAGAATTTTTACTCTCACTCTGACATTCATGGCAGTACCTCACAGGTGTGGTGCGATCCCAATTAACATATGCATGAGGGACCTATGTGCGCGTGAGCATAGGGGAACAAGGGTGTTTTAATTTTTTTTTGCTATTTTATTATTTCTTTTTTTAATTTTTTTTGTACCTTTAACTGTTTTTTAATCAACTTCATTTCTATTACAAGGGATGAACAACATCCCTTGTGATAGCATGGGCCATGACAGTTCCTGTTTATGGAGAGATCTGGGGTCTATTAGACCTAAAATCTCTCCTCTGACCTCACAATGCATGCGATCAGACACAGATCATTCTGATTGTATGCATTTGGACTGCATGGTAGAACCTGGTAAAGGCGTCAGTGACAGGAGGGGGAGGGGCGCCTCTCCACCGCCTGTAAAAGTAATCCAGCGGCTTGTTAGCCCCAGATTACTTTAATCTTGTGAAAAGTGAGAGAGAAAGAGAGAGGGGGAGAGAGGAGAAGAGAGAGAGGAGAAGAGAGAGAGGGGGGGAGAGAGAGGAGGGAGAGAGAGAGAGAGAGAGAGAGGAGAAGAGAGAGGGGGAAAGAGAGAGGAGAGAGAGAGAGAGAGAGAGAGAGAGAGAGAGAGAGAGAGAGAAGGGGAAGGGGGGAGAGAGAGAAGGGAGAGAGAGAGAGAAGGGAGGAAGAAGAGGGAGAGAGAGGGGGAAATAGAGAGAGGGGGGAAAAGAGAGAGAGAGGGGGAGTAGAAGAGAGAGAGTGGGGGAGGAGAAGAGAGAGAGGGGGGGCAGAAGAGAGAGAGGGGGGGAGAAGGAAGAGGGGGGGGGGGAGAGAGAGAGGGGGAGAAGAGAGAGAGGGGTGAGAAGAGAGGGGGGAAGAGAGAGGGGGAGAGGAAGAAGATAGGGGGAGAAGAGAGAGGGGAGAAGAGGGAGAGAGAGAAGAGAGAGCGGGTGGGGAGAGAGAGAGGGGGGAGAAGAGAGGGGGGAAGAGAGAGAGGGGGAGGGAGAGAGGGGGGGCAGAGAGGAGAAGAGAGAAAGTGGAAAAAGAGAGAGGGGGGAGCACGAGGGAGACTATTTGACAAGTAAAGGAGCACTTATCTGTGGTCCGTGGTGTCTGTGGCTGCACTAATACCTGACATGCAGCGATAGTCTCCTCTCCTGCACGCCCTCTTTATGGTCAGCTGACCACAAGGCTCCGCCCTCCAGCCCTATGCAGTGAATGGATTAGACGGCCGGCTGGCTTCAGAGAGGCCGGGTGGGCAGAGCATAGCTGTGATGGTCAGTCCGGACCTGGGCTTCCTGCCGGATCCTAACCTCCCTAGCGGTATGATTATGTCAATATTTTTTTTTCATGGAAATATGTCGTTTTTTATTGTAGGCCTGTAATTTTTAGGAATAACTGAAATCTGTCCGAACAATAGTCTAGTAAACATCCTGGGTATGATAACATTTGAAACACAAAATCATAAATTATAATACAATAAATAATCATAAAAATAATATAATAATAAATGTAATTCAATAATATAATCAAACCAAAAACACTGAAATTTGAAATATAGCGCCAAGTTCGCATATCACCGAGCTCAGTCGCAAAATCGTTTTCAGTGTCTGATGACGAATTTCCCCACGAATCATTATCACTCAATTCTGCAAGTGGTTCTGATTTACTATCGCTGTTCTCTAGGTGGTCTAAAACCGCTTTTGACCTAAAGGGACGCTTTTTGGGACACCATGGATGTTTCTCAGTTTCAAAGCAGAAAGAACAGTAAAAATGCAGGCAGGGCACAGGACAGAGCACTCAGGACAACATGTATGTGAAATGGTTTGATACAGTAATGTTTTACTATGTGATTTTAGTGTATTTAGTGAATGTCACTTTTTAACACTTTTAAATTTCCCACCGGTTCCGTCCCCCATACGTCCCGACGTCGCAGAGAACGGAACCTGGAAGACAGATGCCGGCATCGACCGGAGGAGATTGCCGGGGATGCTGCAGGGGGGACATTGCGGGAGCGAAGGACAAGGTTAATGCAAGAGGGAATCCCAGAGCAACACTGCAGGGTATTCCCGAGTGTAGCTCGGGGTTACCGCTTTTGGTACTGAAAGTTAACCCCGAGCTATACTTGGGAATACCACCAGGGAGGTTTTTAAGAAAGTCAGTGGGTGCAGCAGGGAATCAGCACTCCGGGAAGGCACAGAGAGGGTAAGACAGCCGACTTGCCATTAATTCAGGATGGTATAAGCGGAGCCCACCTTCCCCTGCTCAAGACTTGCTGAGTCCGCCCCCCTGCCTACCCCCTGCCTCCCGCACGAGCCCTGCCGAGGTCTCCCGACCTGTCAAGCCCTGGTCTCTTGTCCCGTCTGCCCGGGGGCAGTGCTGCCCCCCTGAAAACTGCCACCCTAGGCAAACGCTTTGTTTACCTCATGGCAGATACACCCCTGCCTCCAATGTGCTTCAATTTTATCTATTCCACAGAATTTCAGTAGCCTAGGGTCACAGTTATGGAAATCCCTAAAATGCCTACATAGGCTATGATCCTTTTTATCTTTTTTAATATTGGCTACATGTTCCCTAAGCCTTTTATAAAGGGGTCTCGTAATTCTCCCCACATATTGAAGCCGGCATGGGCACTCTAGCAGACATTTAAACTCTAGCAGACATTTATGTAACATTTGTAATAGAACAAGTGATAAATTGATTAATAGTAAACACTTTACCAGTAGTACAAGAGGTAAAGTCCTGTATTACTCTTGTTTTTATACCCATTACTTTACATATATTGCACTTTTTACACAGATAAAAACCTTTAAAATCAAACATCTGAGTTTTTCTTTTTCTGGGTGGAGAAATCACACTCTTAACCAACTTCTTACAAAGGTTCCTGGTTTTTCTATATACGAAAGGTGGTTTGTCCGGTAATATGGACCCCAAAATGTTATCCTTTTTAACAATCAGACAATATTTTTTAATAATTTACTCTATGTCCTTATATTGGCAACTAAACTGAGAAATGAAAGCATATTCCCCATTATTATCCTTCTTTAATATTTCATTCCTATTTTGCTTGATCTTAGCTTGCCCCATATAACCTTTACTGATTTTAAATCTAATATTTTCCTATTTCCCAGGGTCATAACTAGAGATGAGCGAATTATTCAAAAATTCGATTCGACTGATTCGGCGAATTCGTGAAAAAATTTTGATTCGAGTCGAATATATTCGCTGCGAATTTAACTTATAAAAGGGTGTTTCTAGGCTTCAGAGAGCCTTTATATTAGTGCAGAACACTGTACCTTTAATTTAAATGCCCTTGGAGTCTGCTGGGGAAGAGAAATAATACTGTCAGTCAGTATGACATGCAGATGAGTGCCGTCGATCTTAGAATCACCGCACACTTCACTCATTTGGGCAGTCACGAGGCCAAAACCAGAGTGTGGAGCCACAGTGTGGCGGTGGAGGCAGCAGCAATGGGAGGCCATACAGCACCCTATGACAAAATGGAACCCACCAGCAGTGTGAGGAGACCTGAAAGTGGCACATGGCAGAGTGTGGCGATGGAGACAGCAGCAATGGGAGGCCGTACAGGGACCCATGACACACTCTGGACCTGGCAGCAGCATGAGGAGGCGGTACAGGGGCCCATGACAGATTACGGGCCTGGCAGCAGCATGAGGAGTCGGTACGGGGGCCCATGGCAGATTACGGGCCTGGCAGCAGCAATGGGAGGCCGTACAGGGACCCATGACACACTCTGGACCTGGCAGCAGCATGAGGAGGTGGTACAGGGGCCTATGACAGATTACGGGCCTGGCAGCAGCATGAGGAGTCGGTACGGGGGCCCATGACACACTCTGGACCTGGCAGCAGCATGAGGGAGTCGGTACGGGGGCCCATGGCAGATTACGGGCCTGGCAGCAGCAATGGGAGGCCGTACAGCACCCTATGACAAAATGGAACCCACCAGCAGTGTGAGGAGACCTGAAAGTGGCACATGGCAGAGTGTGGCGATGGAGACAGCAGCAATGGGAGGCCGTACAGGGACCCATGACACACTCTGGACCTGGCAGCAGCATGAGGAGGCGGTACAGGGGCCCATGACAGATTACGGGCCTGGCAGCAGCATGAGGAGTTGGTACGGGGGCCCATGGCAGATTACGGGCCTGGCAGCAGCAATGGGAGGCCGTACAGGGACCCATGACACACTCTGGACTTGGCAGCAGCATGAGGAGGCGGTATAGGGGACCATGACAGATTACGGGCCTGGCAGCAGCATGAGGAGTTGGTACGGGGGCCCATGACACACTCTGGACCTGGCAGCAGCATGAGGAGGCGGTACAGGGGCGCATGACAGATTACGAGCCTGGCAGCAGCAACTTGGACAGGAGGACGTTCAGCTTCTGCACCATCGGGTGCGTGCTCGCAAACTGTTGTCTCTTGGACACGGATTCCAAGAAAGACTGCTGACGGAATCCGTGAAGAGGAGTAGCAGGAGAAGGAGCATCTGAACGAGCGGAATATGCCAACAAGCGACAACAGGGGCCCATGACAGATTACGGGCCTGGCAGCAGCATGAGGAGTCGGTACGGGGACCCATGGCAGATTAGGGGCCTGGCAGCAGCAATGGGAGACGCCCGTAATCTGCCAGCAACCTATGACAAAATGGAACCCAGCAGGAGTGTGAGGAGACCTGAAAGTGGCACATGGCAGAGTGTGGCGATGGAGACAGCAGCAATGGGAGGCGGTACAGGGACCCATGAGACACTGTGGACCTGGCAGCAGCATGAGGAGGCGGTACGGGGGCCCATGGCAGATTAGGGGCCTGGCAGCAGCTATGGGAGGCCTGTAATCTGCCAGCATCCTATGACAAAATGGAACCCAGCAGGAGTGTGAGGAGACCTGAAAGTGGCACATGGCAGAGTGTGGCGATGGAGACAGCAGCAATGGGAGGCGGTACAGGGACCCATGAGACACTGTGGACCTGGCAGCAGCATGAGGAGGCGGTACGGGGGCCCATGGCAGATTAGGGGCCTGTGTCTTGGAAATTCGCTTTAACGAATTTCTCCTTACCGTGAGTACTCGCAGTTGGATGCGCAGAAATCCCCCATAAAGCTGTGCGAATCTCGCTTACCACGACTGCAGCTAAACTACACGATTCCTGCCCATCCAAATACTTTGGTTCTGTTGAAATGTAGGTGATTGGAGCTCCGTTACCCTAGAATGATCACACGACACTCTAAGGCTGGTTGCAATCCACATAAGGGCTGATTTTAGACCCAGCTCTCTGTTTTATTAAAAATACACACATGCCCCCACATGAATAAAGTCAATCCCCTCCCACCGAACAATGCAATGGGGATTGCCTATACACAGGATGTACATTCCAATTGGAGCATAGCCTTTGCTATTATCTATCATTGGTCCTCCCCCATGAGTCTTCTGAGGTCAGCAGACTTCCTCCCCTTCCCCCCTATGAGCCATCTGAGGTCATATTTCCTGTCCTACTAGCTTCTATTGGTATGTAAATTTCTCTGCACAAGCATCTCCTAAAAATATCAGTCTGTACCTGGATGGGCCCGATACGATCTTTATTAAAACACATCCATCCAAGATACAGTTCAGATTAGTAATGGGTTGTAAGATATGCATAAGCCTACACGTGGAGTTCACACCGCTTGCGCACTGCGTTATGAAGCCCACGTGGGTACTATGCTGCTGATATGTGGATACAGGCCCACGGTCTACTGACAGCAGCACTCGCATGGAATGCCGTGGTGGTATACACGCCGGTCTATAAGCGCAGATCTGCCATCTCATCCATTACCAAGCTGAGTACTGTAATACATACATTGTACATGTGCATGGCCCAATTGCAGCCTTCAGAGCTTTAATTAAGCCACACGAGAGAGACATATGAATAACACGAATATATGACACATTTAAAGTTCGACCAACAATACAAAATTTCCATGACACCTGGCAGCAGCTATGGGAGGCCCAGTAATCTGCCAGCATCCTATGACAAAATGGAACACAGCAGGAGTGTGAGGAGACCTGAAAGTGGCACATGGCAGAGTGTGGCGATGGAGACAGCAGCAAATTGGGAGGCGGTACAGGGACCCATGAGACACTGTGGACCTGGCAGCAGCATGAGGAGGCGGTACGGGGGCCCATGGCAGATTAGGGGCCTGGCAGCAGCAATGGGAGACGCCCGTAATCTGCCAGCAACCTATGACAAAATGGAACCCAGCAGGAGTGTGAGGAGACCTGAAAGTGGCACATGGCAGAGTGTGGCGATGGAGACAGCAGCAATGGGAGGCGGTACAAGGACCCATGAGACACTGTGGACCTGGCAGCAGCATGAGGAGGCGGTACGGGGGCCCATGGCAGATTAGGGGCCTGGCAGCAGCTATGGGAGACGCCCGTAATCTGCCAGCAACCTATGACAAAATGGAACCCAGCAGGAGTGTGAGGAGACCTGAAAGTGGCACATGGCAGAGTGTGGCGATGGAGACAGCAGCAATGGGAGGCTGTACAGGGGACCCATGAGACACTCTGGACCTGGCAGCAGCATGAGGAGGCCGGTACGGGGGCCCATGGCAGATTAGGGGCCTGGCAGCAGCAATGGGAGACGCCCGTAATCTGCCAGCAACCTATGACAAAATGGAACCCAGAAGCAGTGTGAGGAGACCTGAAAGTGGCACATGGCAGAGTGTGGCGATGGAGACAGCAGCAATGGGAGGCCGTACAGGGACCCATGAGACACTGGGACCTGGCAGCAGCATGAGGAGGCGGTACAGGGGCCCATGGCAGATTAGGGGCCTGGCAGCAGCAATGGGAGACGCCCGTAATCTGCCAGCAACCTATGACAAAATGGAACCCAGCAGGAGTGTGAGGAGACCTGAAAGTGGCACATGGCAGAGTGTGGCGATGGAGACAGCAGCAATGGGAGGCCGTACAGGGACCCATGAGACACTGTGGACCTGGCAGCAGCATGAGGAGGCGGGTACAGGGGCCCATGGCAGATTAGGGGCCTGGCAGCAGCAATGGGAGACGCCTGTAATCTGCCAGCAAACTATGACAAAATGGAACCCAGCAGGAGTGTGAGGAGACCTGAAAGTGGCACATGGCAGAGTGTGGCGATGGAGACAGCAGCAATGGGAGGCGGGTTACAGGGACCCATGAGACACTGTGGACCTGGCAGCAGCATGAGAGGCGGTACAGGGGCCCATGGCAGATTAGGGGCCTGGCAGCAGCAGCTATGGAGGCGCCCGTAATCTGCCAGCAACCTATGACAAATGGAACCCAGCAGGAGTGTGAGGAGACCTGAAAGTGGCACATGGCAGAGTGTGGCGATGGAGACAGCAGCAATGGGAGGCCGGTACAGGGACCCATGAGACACTGTGGACCTGGCAGCAGCATGAGGAGGCGGTACAGGGGCCCATGGCAGATTAGGGGCCTGGCAGCAGCTATGGGAGGGGCCCGTAATCTGCCAGCATCCTATGACAAAATGGAACCCAGCAGGAGTGTGAGGAGACCTGAAAGTGGCACATGGCAGAGTGTGGCGATGGAGACAGCAGCAATGGGAGGCGGGTACAGGGACCCATGAGACACTGTGGACCTGGCAGCAGCATGAGGAGGCGGTACGGGGGGGCCATGGCAGATTAGGGGCCTGGGCAGCAGCTATGGGGGGCCTGTAATCTGCCAGCATCCTATGACAAAATGAACCCCAGCAGGAGTGTGAGGAGACCTGAAAGTGGCACATGGCAGAGTGTGGCGATGGAGACAGCAGCAATGGGAGGCGGTACAGGGACCCATGAGACACTGTGGACCTGGCAGCAGCATGAGGAGGCGGGTACAGGGGCCCATGGCAGATTAGGGGCCTGGCAGCAGCATGGGAGACGCCCGTAATCTGCCAGCAACCTATGACAAAATGGAACCCAGCAGGAGTGTGAGGAGACCTGAAAGTGGCACATGGCAGAGTGTGGCGATGGAGACAGCAGCAATGGGAGGCGGTACAGGGACCCATGAGACACTGTGGGACCTGGCAGCAGCATGAGGAGGCGGTACAGGGGGCCCATGGCAGATTAGGGGCCTGGCAGCAGCAATGGGAGACGCCCGTAATCTGCCAGCAACCTATGACAAAATGGAACCCAGCAGGAGTGTGAGGAGACCTGAAAGTGGCACATGGCAGAGTGTGTGGCGATGGAGACAGCAGCAATGGGAGGCGGTACAGGGACCCATGAGACACTGTGGACCTGGCAGCAGCATGAGGAGGCGGTACGGGGGCCCATGGCAGATTAGGGGCCTGGCAGCAGCTATGGGAGGCCCGTAATCTGCCAGCATCCTATGACAAAATGGAACCCAGCAGGAGTGTGAGGAGACCTGAAAGTGGCACATGGCAGAGTGTGGCGATGGAGACAGCAGCAATGGGAGGCGGTTACAGGGACCCATGAGACACTGTGGACCTGGCAGCAGCATGAGGAGGCGGTACGGGGGCCCATGGCAGATTAGGGGCCTGGCAGCAGCTATGGGAGGCCCCGTAATCTGCCAGCATCCTATGACAAAATGGAACCCAGCAGGAGTGTGAGGAGACCTGAAAGTGGCACATGGCAGAGTGTGGCGATGGAGACAGCAGCAATGGGAGGCGGTACAGGGACCCATGAGATACTGTGGACCTGGCAGCAGCATGAGGAGGCAGTACGGGGGCCATGGCAGATTAGGGGCCTGGCAGCAGCAATGGGAGACGCCCGTAATCTGCCAGCAACCTATGACAAAATGGAACCCAGCAGGAGTGTGAGGAGACCTGAAAGTGGCACATGGCAGAGTGTGTGGCGAATGGAGACAGCAGCAATGGGAGGCGGTACAGGGACCCATGAGACACTGTGGACCTGGCAGCAGCATGAGGAGGCGGTACGGGGGCCCATGGCAGATTAGGGGCCTGGCAGCAGCAGCTACGGGAGACGCCCGTAATCTGCCAGCAACCTATGACAAAATGGAACCCAGCAGGAGTGTGAGGAGACCTGAAAGTGGCAGCACATGGCAGAGTGTATGGCGATGGAGACAGCAGCAATGGGAGGCCGGTACAGGGACCCCATGAGACACTGTGGATCCTGGCATCCAAGCAGCATGAGGGGGCGGTACGGGGGTCCAATGCCCATGGCAGATTAGGGGCCTGGCAGCAGCTATGGGAGGCCTGTAATCTGCCAGCATCCTATGACAAAATGGAAACCCAGCAGGAGTGTGAGGAGACCTGAAAAGTGGCACATTGGCAGTGTGTGTGATGGAGAGCAGCAATGGGAGGCGGGGTACAGGTGACCCATGAGACACTGTGGACGCCTGGCAGCAG